GGAAGTCCAGCCAACGACGCAGAAATACAAACGGCAACACCACCGCCACCACCAGCAACAATGAATGGACAGTCCAGCATTGTGACTTTAAGGCCCGTGCGACTGCTACAATACGTCCAAGACGACAATGCAGAATCAAGGCCACCATCACCCACGGCAAACGGTGGTGCCGCCAATAATAAAGCTGACAAGAGCACTGAAGGGGACATCCCGAACAGTGATCCAGCAGCTGATGGTGCAGGGACACGAAAAGAAAAACAAAATGGAAATAAAGAAGCCAATCCGAAAGAAAAACCAGTCGAAGCCACAGCCAAGAAAAATACAACGGCGACGAGTGGCGACAGTGACGGCGGCACCGCGGCCTCCCACACCACCTCCCCTCTTTTGCTTCTTCTTGTTGTTGCGTGTGCGGCTGCTGCTGCGGTGGTGGCCGCGTGAGAGTGAGGGAGAGAGAGCCATGCACCGCCCGCACACACACTCGTCTTTCACCCACTCTCTGTGTGTGTCCCCTTGCATGGACTCTCGCCCTCACCTCATCCCACGAAGCACACACATAATGTGCCCATTGTATATATGCATGCACACCCATGCAGGCCCGTTGGTGCTCTCTTTTGCACGACACGCACCGCTGCCGTCCTACCTGGCTGCATGGGCGGAGCACCGTAACTGTTTCTGTTTTGTTTTTTTTTTGTCCTCTTATGATCGTTTTAATTGTTTCTGATTTTTCTTTGCTGCTTGCTTCAAAATATTTTAAATGTTTTTTTGTTTTTTTTGTCCTCTTATGATCGTTTTAATTGTTTCTAATTTTTCTTTGCTTTTTGCTTCAAAATATTTTAAATGTTTTTTTTTTTTGTCCTCTTATGATCGTTTTAATTGTTTCTAATTTTTCTTTGCTTTTTGCTTCAAAATATTTTAAATGTTTTTTTGTTGTTGTTTTTTTGGTTGTGCGATTTCTTTCGTCATTTCTTCTATTTTATTACCCTGTTTTTTGTGTGTTTTGTGTATACTTTTTTTCTTTTTGATTTTTCTGTTTTTTATCTTTCTCCCTCATCCCTCTTTTTTTTTTTTTTGCTTTTTGTGGGCAATCACTATGTACCTCTTTTTCTTTTCTACTCTTCCCTCTTTCAATTGTTTCTTCTGCACTCTTCCTTTGAGGGGTGCCGTGTGTTTCCCGCCCAACCGCTCCACTCGCACACCCACCGACACGCTCATGACGACGGCCCTGTGCGCCTCGCCTGCTGCACGCATGAGGAGGGGCCGCGACGAACGGCGCGCTGAGGGAGCCGTGACGTGTGGGCGTGCGACGAGGGCCTGTGGGGCGGAGCACACATTTATTTCCCTCTTGTTTTTTTTTTTTTTTTTGCGGCCAGGGCGGGCAGACACCCGCAGCGCTACACACACACACAGCCACACCCTGCCGCCGTGTTTTTCTTTAAGGATTTGTTTTGTTTTTTTGTGGATGTGTGTGTGCTGCCACCGTGCGTAATTGTTGAGGTTGGGGTCGTGCCGCATGTATCGCTGCTCTCCAGCTGTGCCTCTTGCTGTGTTGATGTGCCTCCCTGTGCTTCTCTTCTTTTCTGCTCCTCCAGCACACAAACATATATATATATATATATATATATATGTGAGTAGTTGCACAGTGCTCTGCAGGGATGCCTTGGCGACGGTGGGACGTTGGCTTGCATCCCGTGCTGACATAGTATGGTCGCTGCGTGTCTACCGTTGGCGGTGGGAATCACGGTGTCGTTGGATGGATGTGTGTGGGACGCTTTTGCATAGTGCTGGAAGCCGGCTGACGTAGCTGCGAGATGTCCGCCATGTGTGAGGGTGTTGCCTGCTCTTGGGGTCATTCCTCTTTCCCCTCGTTGTTTTTGCTCTGCCGGGTGCGTGTGTTGCTCGGTGTGTGCTGACGCGTGACGGACGGTGTCACGCTGGCCTCTTCTGACGGTGACAGTCGCTGTGCTCTTGGCACACACCCACACACTCTTCCTTGTCCCTCTGTGGGAGTGATTGTAGCAGGGCATTGCTGCGAGAGTGACGGGGACCACGACGGCGTCACCCCTCGAGAAGGTCACACGCTCTGTTGGTTGTGGAGCGGCGAGGCGGTTTGTCTGCAGCCCGACTGACAGAACCGCACAGTCGTTTCATTGCGGTCACTCCGTCGGCATCACCCGCTGTGGTGGTGTCCGCAGGAGCCGCAGCCCCGATGAGGATGGCCTCGTAGTTATCTGGCAGCTCAGAACTTCAGGCCATTCGCCCTTCAGGATTGCCCTTGCTGCTTGACTGGCGCAGCACCGGCCCGACATGGCTCTTCTGCATGAGTGCAGGCAGCAGAGTGCCCCAGCGACGAGGTTCATTGGCTGCGGTGACCTCCAACAGGCCTGCAGTGGGCGTGCCGGTGGCGTGGCCTTCGTTGTGCGCCACACCTTGCCGTGCGAGCGCCTGTCGCTGCTGGTACCAACTGCCTGGAGACCACCGCCTTCCGCGTGTACCCACCGGCCAGCCCCAGCATGTGCGTGGTGAACCTCTGTAACCTTCCATCGGCAATTGCTCATGCTGCTCACTTTGCGAGCAACATTCTTCGTCTTGGTCCTACAGCGCCCATCGCGTGCGACCTGAATTCACACCATGAGCCGCGTGACGGTTGCTCACCATCAACGACGGCAGGAGAGGACCTCGCCGCCACCTCAAGCGGCATGGAGTCTGAGCTGTCCGATGACCCGGCACAGGCAACACAGATCAGTGGCCGCGGCGTCTCGTTTCCCAATGTGAATGCACAACGCGTGCTGCATGTCTCCCACTGTACGTCCACTAGTTTACATGGACTCGGACCAACATCTGCAATCCCACACTGCAGAGACGAAGGACGGCATCCCGCGACTGGCAGGCATGCTGCCACGACGGAAAACATGCCGCCCTTTTCCTGCGTGATGCCGACTGTGATGCTTCCACCTCGGCGTGTGTAACACCTCTGGCCTCTGTGACCACATGGTTGGAGATGCGCAAATGCACCATACCGCACGGCAGCCGTGACAGCCCACAGGAATCACGACGGACGGAATGGAGCAGGCCGAGTCTGTTGCAGCGGCAGCATGCAATACGCACACAGCCCCATCTGGAGGCATCTTGCCCCGAGCTGACGTTCTCCGCAAACTGGAGGACCGAAATCATACCCTTCGCCGTGGCTTCTCCATGCTGCCAGAGGTCCGTGCGAAACAGCTTGGTGCCCTCTTGAGCCCAGACCCGTGATGCTCCGAGGCATGGCGGTATCACGTCCCTGCCCTCTGGGATCGGCTGTGCTGCGGTACTCTCGGGACCGCGTCTGTGCTCTGCCTCTGCAGCAGGCAAACCCGCTCGTCCGTCACACTGTCCGCGTCGCACTTGCTGCGATCCTCACTGTTGCCTGCACACTTTGTGCTTGCGTGCCCTCTGGTGACTGAGATATAGATTGGCTCTTCACGCCGTCTGCACCTGACTCGGCCATCCGCGATTCTTTGCCTGGCTTGGCCCCTGGACACGTCGGCGCATTGAGTGTGTTTCTGCGCCATCTTGCACCCGCTGCTTGCACAGAACGATGATCAATACCTCACTCGCCGACGGCAGCATACGAAGTTCCTGGGAAACGGGGAACACCACTCCCATCCACAGACACGGGAAGGAAAAATGCCGCACCGAAAGAGTTGCCGACTCATCTCGCTGCTCTCTGCCCTGCTAGGGGTGAGCGAAGGACTGATCCACCGCCGCCTGTGAGTGAAGAAACGGCACGAGGGCTGAGCGAGTGCGAGCGTCGCAGGGGCGGCGTCCCGCGCTGCACCGTCGCCGTCACCGCTCTCTCGCCGTCCCGATTGGCATCTCGACTGCGATCGACACCGCGGACTATGGGCGAGTGCTGGCCGTGCTCGACGGGCTCCCGCGCCTGGGCCGTCGCGCCCAACGCTGGTAGCGAATCACCTGCGAGGCGGCTGCGTTGGGGTGAGTGCTCGCCAAGAATATTCCCGACAGCGGCTCGCCTCAGCCATGGCAGCCCAATGCAGCGTCGTGGGACCGCAGCTCCTACTCCACCACGTGGATGATCTGCTGCGCCGCCTGTACAGCATTCACTTTGCGTCGGCGTTCATTCACGCTGACGGCCGCACGCTTGTTGCCTTGTGTGCAGACATCCGTGTCCGTGCTGCGGCAATGCCAACTGCCGTGTCACCTATAACGACATGGGCTGCCGAGCACAGCCTGAAGATCAACGCGGACGGGAGCGGGCCAGCTCTGTTCTGCATCGCCTCACACCGACAGTCTGGCGAGAACACGGCCGACTATCGTCTGGGCGATGGGAACCAACGCGTCAAGTCCCACCCGGTGCGTCTGCTCGGCAATGCGATTGATCGACACCCCAATTTTGATTACGCACGCTTCCACCGCCGCTGCAGGGCAGACCGTGCCACGCTGCTGTCAGCTGCGGCTGGGTGCAGAGGCTGGGGCGTCCCAGCACACCACGCGATACTTTTTGGTTGGGTGCGTCCACAGTGCGTTGCACCACGGCGGCGAGGCAATCGCACCGTGTCCGGCCCCCATTCACCTCCACAGCCTGGAAGTGCGGCACCGCGACAGCTGCACTGCATCGCTCGGCCCACGCGCAGCAAGGAAGGATACTTCTGTCCACCTGGAAGCCAATCTAGCACCGCTGCGGAGGATCATTGGGTTCCGCGCACCACACAACACAAACGCCATGTACGTTTCCATAATCACGGGATTTGCGCTCCCTTATCTACTCGGAACCTATGCCTCCGTCCATGCATGGGAAAACGGCGACATCGATCCCGCTCCCGAGAGATGCTGTTGTTAATGAATTAGAACGCGCATGTAATACTATTGGGATACCCCACAGCCACAATCGCGCTCCTCCTATTCAACATCGAATTTTCCTCTGGGACACTGTGAGTTGCAATAAAGTGGAATTTAATCAGCCACGCTTTGCTCAAGACGCCTCTGACGATGTCAAGCGCACGGCTTTTGATTCTATTTACTCCTCTCTAGGAGATTTTGATTTTGAATTATGGACAGACGTTTCTTCATCTCTCGCCGAACTCGCATCTGGATCCGCTGCACCATTATATTACTCCACCACGACAAATGATCTCCCTGTGGAGGTCCATCGTGCAGCAGCTGGCAGGCTCGCACGCTCATATAGAGCAGAGTGCCTTGCCACTGAAAAGGGCATTATACGTCTCATACCTTTTGTCTGGAAACATCCCAATCGCCCACACGAATCCTGGTGGCAACAGACTCCCTGTCGAGAACTGAGGCACTCCGCGTCGTTCCACTGGCCATGCAAGATTACGTTACCGAAGAGATTTGGATTATGCTGCTCTCCTTGATAAAGCGAGGTCACTCTGTAAACTTCATGTTCTCTCCATCGCACTGCGGTATCCCACGCAATGAGGCCGCTGACGACGAAGCCATGATTGCACGATCCCTCCCGCAGGAGGGCAGCCCAATCTGGCACGTGGACTTCCTCGCTGCAGCCAGGCGACCGTACTGGAGGGATGCCCAGAAGAAAAGGAAGGGCGCGTACACCGCATGACAGGCGCCTGTCGGTGTGGCAGGGACTCTATTCCTGGCACGACCCGGACATCGTGCCACGAGTGGCGGCACTGCGCAAAGGCACGGTGCGATTCCTGCCCACTCCTCGACAGGCCTGCGCGTGTCCTTCGTATCACAATTAACCCTCTGTGTCGGTGGTGCCGTCCCTCCCTCACTGAGGAGACCGGCCCGCCGCTGCCTCCGCCAGAACCTCTTCCCGACGTGAGCACCGCAACTTCTTGCCGACCAGCGAGCGACGGATTGACGTCCTCCTGCTCAAGCTGCAGCAGAGTGCGCACGTCCGTCCACAATATGAGGGCGCATGCCCGACGTGCTCGACCTGGCGTTCCGATAGTTGGAGAGGGCCTCACATGCGGGTGCCACAATGGTGCCAGCGTCTTCTTAACAGGCGCCTCGCGCACAGGTCGCCACAGAAAGTGCCAAGCATGCCAGCAGGCAAAACACGCAGGAAGCACAAGCGCGGGCACTCGAGATGGACCACGAGAGACTTCGCTTCATCCACTGCAGAAATGCCCCCGTCGTTGGGAATTGGGAATGCGAGTGTTTGGAGTGCCCCAGCCCGCACGACGGCACGATTTGGACGGAATGCTTGCCACTTTTGTACGGACGGCCCTTGCGCTACTCACTTTTTATTATAACGGCATACAGCAAAAATAGGATGAAATTTTGCTTTGCGATGAATGTTGGCTGCGATTCCCATGGACCAGTAATTTACGTGGTTTGCGGGGATTTCTTTTTTTTGTTATTGTTACTTTGCTGTTGTGTTGCCGTGTGCGTTGCACCTCCTCTCGTGTGTGTGCGTACCCTCCGTGAGGGGTGCCGACACGACGGACCGCTCTTGCCGTATGTGCATGCGGTGGAGCCTTGTGTGCCGTTCCTGTTTGCTTCTCCCTCTTCAATCTTTGTGTTGGTGTTGCGGCAGGGCTGTGTGTGCGGCTTACGGTGCATGCCTGGCCGCTGCCCTCTCCTCATGTTGTTTGCCCTCTGTGTGTGTCTGCCGCACCTCTCTTCTCCCCTGTTGCTCTCCATGTCCCTCACTGTGCAGATCAGCTCCACACCACTGAACGACCACACTCACGATGATGATGACGTGCCGTCTGCTGTGCGCCCTGTTGGTGCTCGCCCTGTGCTGCGGCCCGTACGTGTGCGCGGCAGGGACTAATCTGGATCAGGATTCAGGCTCTAATGGAAATATTGCTGGTCTGCCGTCCCATGCACCAGCCACTAATTCAGCTCCGGAGGCCCCTGGAATTTCAAACAAGAACGCGACGCCTGGGGATCCTGCCGACGCCGGTCCATCGCCCTCTCGACGAGAGGCAGTATCGCAGGCGACCACTCCGTCAGGGTTGCCACGTAATGGGCTCGGTGCGGAGCCGGGAAAAGTTGGTGGAATGGGATCAGAATCAAAAGTCACGATCGATGTGTTAAAGGCAGAAGACAGCGGCGACAGGGCTGGAACAGAAATTGACACGAATACATCTGCAGACCAAAAAGATAAGAGCGCCAGAGATGCTGCCAAGACGACCACGACGACCACTACAACAAAGGCACCAACCACCACCACGACGACCACAACCACTACGACCACGACTACAAAAGCGCCAACTACGACGACCACCCGCGCACCATCACGTCTTCGTGAAATCGACGGCAGCCTCAGGAGCTCTGCGTGGGTGTGTGCCCCGCTGCTGCTCGCCGCATCTGCGCTGGCGTACACCGCCGTGGGATGAAAGGGAGCGTTGGCTGTGCGTGCCAGCACTCAACCACGGGGACATGTGTACGTCTACTGTGGTCCGATGTAATAAATAAGAGTAATTATAATGATTGTGTTTTGCTTCATTTGCTTCAGCTGCCATGCTGTGTGCTCCGCGTTGCTTCCCGCATCCGTCACGCTGAACGCATCACAGACATACTCATATGCATGCGCACTGGAGCTCTGGGTTTGGTTTTTCTTTTTTTTTTGTTCAATTTTCATTGCTTCTTTTGTGTTTTTTTTTTTTATTCTTGTTTGCAGGGCGGTGTGCGAGCTCTGCAATTGTACTGATTCCATGTGTCTCGTGGTGTGTGCGCTGCTGCTGCTGGGGTGCTGCCATTTGTTGCTGTGCGGTGGCTGTGCGTGGTGTAGCGGCTGTGTCTCCTTTTGTTTTCACATGCTATTGCAGGTTGGCTTCAAGGCGTTAAGTGGCTAAACTGTTTGTGATGATGACTGGCCGTGTGCTCTGCGTCCTGTTGGTGCCTGCACTGATGTGCTGTTTCTTGTGCGTGTGTGCAACAGTTGCTGCGACGGAGGTGCGTGTGCGGCCTGCCGGTGATGGCGCGGTGACTGCTGGACACATGTGGGCAGTGATGGCTGCGGAAAGTGACCCGTGGTCGGTAGCTCTGGACGAAATGGGAGCGTGAACTCTGAGGGCAGTAACAATCAGGAAGACGAGGAGGGTGGAGGAAACACAGCAAGTGATGGTCCTACGCCCACGCCCCCTGAAACACTCACTGCTCCGACGGGGAAGGATCAATCCAGCAGCGACCCACCGCGAAGTATCACTTCCAATCCTTCTGACACTGGTGACGTGTCCGATTCCCAGACCCATGCAAGTGGACAGGAGCCTTTGGGCGGAGGGCCCGCTGCAGGCACAACATCCCCACTCCCCAACTCATCTCAGCAGGCAGCAGGTGGAGTGCATGCTGTTGGCGGGAGGACCTCCCAGGGCAGTCAGGCTTCGGAACAAACCGTCACGGGACAGTCACGGGTGTCAGAGACGGCGAAGGAAGCACCGCAAGGCGACGAAGAAGGAGAACCCGGAGCGCAACACGAAGCCGACCACACCACAAAAGATGGCGGTGATGACTTCTTGGACAAAAACGGCAATGAAAAGAGAGAGCCTCCAGCGGGATCGCAAGGTGCGCCACGACCCAGCAGTGGCGGGAGTGCTAATGTCGCACCGAATCCCGCTGTCTCCATTCCACTGCCCCCAGAGCCAAAGTCAACAGGTGAGGCAACCGGTACGGGAGAATCTCCACATCCGACCGATAATGCACAGACACAAAGTATGAGGACCGATAATGCACCAAGCACGGCACAGACTCAAAATTTGTCGAACACTAAAGCACAGGAACCAGAAGCAGAAATCACTACAACAGAGGCACCTAGTAATACGGCCAGGAACACAGAGGCGCCAACCACAACGACGACCACCA